TTTTTGTGGCAATCACCATGAAAATGGTGGTGGCATCAGGAACAAGATGGGTCCTCACATTCGAGGATTCTTTTGATAAAGTGGGAAGCTTTCGCTGGATGTGCATTATAGAAGAAGAGCTATTGTATCACACTTGTGGTGGGAGATGTTCCAAATAACCCATTCTACATCACAAATTGTCTAAATGACCTAAAAAAAAAATCCTTAATGAAAAATAACCCTAAAAAGAAAATTACTTATACACCCTCACTCGTAAGAAAAAAAAGAAAGAAAAAAAGAAAATCGCTGATTCCATTTTTGCCCCTCTCTCGCGACTTCCTCTCTCTCGCGGCCTCCTCTCTCTCGTTCGACCTCCTCTTTGTTTATGCTTCTCGCTCACGCACCCGACCACTATGGAGCTCTCTCTCGTCAATTTCGGTACGTATTTTTTCGATTTTTGTGAATGTGTTCTTTTATTTATTTTCCATGTGTCCTAAAAAAAATAAATGAACAAATGATACTCACCAGTTTTGCTATGGAATCATCGGATGGCTCGGCTTAGAAAGTCATCCATAATTATTTACAAATGGTGTATTGATATGTGTCCTGCAATTCAGTACATAAAGTTATGGATGGCTCCACAAAATTTTTGTGGACTCATATGCGATTGGGTCTCCTTACCTCGTTTGATAATGAATGTGGTTAGTTATCAAGTAACCGGCCCAAGTTCAAATTACGAAATTATGGGTCTGTTTGTAAAGGCCCATTGCGGCCCAATAATTCAACAAAGCTGTATTGCTGATATTGCACATCAGAAATACTAAAAAAGCTATTCACCTATTAAGTGATTACACAACAACCACTCAAAGTTCAAAGCTGGACCACTGTCCGCACAAACCGCTACCGGTTTCACGGTTCCATTTTTTGCCGTTTATAATGGTTTTAACCGGTTTTCGATTCACGGTTGAACCGTTGGACCGGCCGGTCCTGTCAGGGTTTTAGGACCATGATAAATATATACTTGTACTAGTGCGATATATGGAATAATAATAATATAAATTGAATATTTTTAAATGAAATATACGAGTACCATTGCCATAGATGAAACAATAATAATAATAATAAATATTATAAATTGAAAAAAAATATATATAATCAATGAGTATAAATATAGTCTAAATATTAAATTTTATCATTTCCTTTATTTTATAACTAGTACGAATCACGTGCGATGCACGGGTAAAAGATATTCTGTAACGCCCCACTTTTATTTTATGAAAGTCAAAGGCTTTTCAAAAAGCCAACTTAAATTTTTCGAAACATTTACATAAATCAGTGGCGCTACTCGAACTAAATCACATAAATAACATAAATCACACTTGCATAAATCATAAATCATAAAATCTACTGTTTTCATAAATCCCAGTTTCATCTAAATTGTTCATAAGGGAACATCTCCCAATTCAAAGTTCCAAAAATTCCAAAGTCATAAATAAGCATAAATAAATCCAAGTCTACTAGCATGCGGAATGAACTAAATGAAGTCAGTCAAAGACCAACACCACTCGTCTTTTGTCTCGTCAGCCGGCACCTACTTAACCTGCATCAATGAAGAGCAGGTGAGAGTGAGCACGATGAACTGTTGTGCTCACCACTATGCACGTAAATAACAACATAATATAACAAAGGGTATGGTCACAGCATGATTATAAATTAATTCAACATGTCTCATCTCCAATCAATACACCAATAATCTCACTCATGTGCACATCTATCATTAGCCATTGAATGACATACAGCTCTCAACAATGGGAGTGCATACCGAAGGACATACAGCTCTCAACGGTATGGCCTATCATTAGGACTTAGGGAGATTGCCACACAAGGGCACCGTCGAAGGACATACGGCTCTCAACGACGGGGACAACTGTTCGAATAACATACAGCTCTCAACGAAGGTTACACAAATTCACATTCAAGCAGTGATCATACCAACCCAACAACAAATAAATTATTTACGGCATAGCAATTTAAATAAGACCCACCTGGTATCCGGAGTAAATCAATAAAACCAGGAAAGCAGCAGGCAGTCAAGGCACAGTTCGTCAAACACCTACATTCGATGGGCCTTGTCTTAGAATCTTATCAAGGCTTATCTTATTCTCGAAGTCTTATACATCTATATAAGCTTGGAAAATGTTTTATGTATAAGCCTTTTCGGTTGTTGGATATCTTGGCTTACTTAACTTTTAGCACTTAGGACATTGATGAATCATATACACATCACATAGCATGACATGGTTCAGTTATGCCACATAAACATGCTTTTAAACAATACAACTCAATTTAGACACCTAAACATGAACTTGCAACAATTTCCAACATGCGAGATGAATTTAAAATGTATGTAGCTTTCAGTATAAAAATCATATCCTGATGAAACAACTTGGAAAAATATCTCTAATTCATGCCTCTATCATTTTATGCAGAACACTCAAGCAGATAAAATCATTTAAAGACACTTAATACAGAAAACATCCAAAACATAGTTGCAGTCAAAATGTTCAAACAAGGTGGCGGTATTTTGATAACAATTCGAGCTACGGAGCACATATCAACATGTAATATACCTCATTTGAAAGATAAGAAGTAGACCTATAACTTTCATGAAGGGCATAAGTTCATACGAGCACATTACGACACGATAAATAGGTCACACATTAGTTTCACACAAGCTGTCGGGTAGCATGAAAAACTGGACGCGCAATATTCTCGTAAAAATCATAACTTATTCGATATAGCTCAAAATTACGAAATTCCAAAACCCAGGTACATGAAACTAAACATACTACATTTCATAAGAAGAAAACAACTTTAAATAATCAGTTACTGATAGCTTAAACTGAGGTACAACAGAAACAGCAAATAATTTTTTCCAAATATACAGCACCTTAGTAAAATGACAACAACTCAAGCTACATAACTCCAATTCATATAAACTCAAAACTTATAGAATCTACACATGGTAAACTACAATTGTTATGAAGAGAAATTTTTCATACGAACACTTTCGGGTCATCAAAACAGAGCACACATTCAAGATTTAAATACAGCCATGGTTCATAAAAACTGGATGTACATCCTACTTATAAAAATCATATAAAATCAAGTGGACCTCTAATTTGCATGATTCC